TAGAACGGAGAAAAAGGAAATAGTGCCAGCATATTGAGGCCATAAAGAGGTAGTATAATTTTGTATAATTCGACAATATATGCATAGTTCAAATAAAAATCAATTCATACGTAGATGTATCAATCTACATATATACATGAAATAGTAAGGGACCTTCCTAGTTTAGGGATACTAGGGACGGTTCAACTTTTCGTAAAATCTCAGTTAAAAATGAATAGCACATTTTAATGCAAACTGATGCGAAATAATCAAGTGGAGGGAGTTGGGACATTGTCCTTCACATAATCTTTGGACAACAACAAAAATAACAACAAAAAACAACGCGCAGTATAATCCTACAAGTGGAATTTGAGGAGGGTAGTGTATACGCAAACCTTACCCCTACCCTGGGGCCTGGGGTAGAGAGCCTGTTTCCGATAGACCCTCGGCTCCCTCTCTCCAAGAACTCTCCACCTTGCTCTTAGGTGACTCGAACTCACAACTTTTTGGTTGGAAGTGGAGAGCTCTAACCACTAAAGCAATCACTCTTGGATAAGTCGTATATATATATATATATACCTACAGAAATAACCAGACAACTAATGGTCAACATGTCTGTCTGGCCCAAAATTATCTTACAGCTTGCCATAGCACTTAATATCGAAGGAACACGTGTGAGTTTGCTGCAACACTAGGCTCCATTGAATTTGTAATTTACACGTCAAGCATGGTTAAAGGCTATTATGATCAATAATAATCCACATAAATTTGTCATTCCACACACTCTCTTCTGTACATATTTCTATTAGAATGATTATTATGGGAGCCCCACTTAAATAGCTACTATTAATGATTATCATCTCACATCCAACCCTCCCTCAAACGGCTATCCTAATTAAACATTACACTAACTATATAATTTTAAAGTGTGTTACACATTCTTTTCTCTTGATTTAATGTTTAGAAGCAAGTAAATACTTTTTGCCTTAACATTTTATTTTAAAAATAAGAATAAATTAAATAATTAACTATTATAACCAAGCAGAATATAAATTATTTACAAAATTTCTTTTCTTTAATAGTCTATTTTAAAAATAAGAAGAAACTGAATTATGAACTATTATAACCAAGCAGAATACAAAATTATTTATAAAATTTCTTTTACTTAATAATCTATTTTAAAAATTAGAACAAACTAAATAATTAACTATTATAACCAGGCAGAATACAATATTATTTACAAAAGGCTAATCTGTAAATATTACTATGCTATTTCAAACCAAAACCAAATAGATGAAATATTTATTATATTTTTACTCTTTTTTTTCTTTGATGTTTAATTCGAACAAATTAATTTTAAAATTAGATGACTAACTCGGAAATGCAATAATTTTTATCGAATAAAGATGCTTAAGAAGTTCTTATTTTTAAATATATTATTTAAATGAATATGAATGGTTTTACAAAACAATTGGAGTAATACAATTAAGGAAATATTTTTGTAATTACGTGTTGGGCTCATGCTCAGCATGGGCCATCCCTTGTCTAGTACATATATAGACACACACCATATGAAGCTCGATATTATCATAGGAGTAGTTTTTAAAAACGATTTGGTTTTATCAAATTCTGAATTTAATCTATTTATGGTAGTTTCCTGATGTTTATAAACGTCAGTATCAGAATAAGAAGTTATAAAGTTGTAGAAATTTACGAAAATATTTGAAATTCGACACTTCCATTATATATTAGAAAATATTCTCATGCAATTGTTCTTTTTGGTGAAAAAGATCTGTGTCTTTCTGACTTTCTATCACATGAAATTGTGTTTTGGGTGCCTCATGTTGAAATTCTTATGTCATAGTCCAGCGGCTGATTTATATTCCAATATATTAGGTGCGTGAACTCATGATCTCTCCGTTAAATTATTATATATATATNTTTCACATTAGGTTCGACATCTTATTTCTCTCAATCGATACGCCACGTTGATTTAAATTATGTTGTTTTTATTTTCAAAACAATACATTCTCAAGTTGATTCAAATAAAAAATATCAGGTTCTTTTGGTGAAAGAGATGTGTCTTTTCTTGCACACCCCATCGCATGAAATAGACTTTTTGGAATATGTCCATCGTACTATTCCTAGATACTCCTTGGCTTAATAACGAGGCAATTCCAATTTCCAACAATGTATTTCACATTAGGATTGAAGTTTCATATCTCTCAAACAAAACGTACGTTAATTTGAATTATCTTGCTTTCATTTTCAAGATAGCACATACTCAAGTTGATCAAATATCATGTATAGCATTTTTTCTATTTGCACAAACTTCTACAGAAAAAATGACGAGCTTAGAACCACAAGTTGGAAACACGTCACATCCAAAATATCTACAACATTTAATAGAAATTTGATTTTTCGATCAGCCAATATATTCGATGAAGAGATATTATAATCCACATATCCCTTTTTTCTTTCACGATAGTATTTTTTTTCCCTAACTAGAAATGATAGCTTCAGTATGCTACCTGGGCTGGCTATGGTCTATTTCCTCCCCTCGTTCATTTTTTTCACCCCCTCAATTCAATTCGATTTTGTATTATTCTGGCTACTTGGCCTTTCTTGAACTTAAATCAACAGGCCAAGCCCAGTAAAGAAAAATTAAAAGCCCAACAACATAAAAGGTACCCAAGCCCATAAAGAAACATATAATAGGAATCTTACAGAAATGTCTCAAATAAATCCTAAGTTATCAACATCTACCCATTAATTATATACTTATCAAAACTAGCAATCACATACAAAAATTGAAAACTCAAATAAATAAGGATTCTTTTTCCCCAAAAATCACACGCAAAAATCTCCTTTTATATTTTTAAGCGTGATAAGCACAATAGATGCAAGCCGAAAAGGAAATTTTATGGATGAGGTAGCAAACAAGGTGATGAAATTTAAAAAAAACATATAGACGAGTCAATATTCAAAATTTGAGGAAGGTTGGATATGATTTGGAATTATTTGCTATCAAAATTCGTAGTTAAAATCCACTTGAAAAGTTGGAGTGCACCCTTTAGCCGATTCAAGCGGAAGAAAAAAAATATTTTGAGATCGAATTTCAAATAGCATTTTTAGCTCCTAATTAAAGAATCGATGCTTTCTAATCCTCATTATAAAAAGCATCCGGTGTGACCCAAAAAGTTCATAAAAATTGCATTGGTCGGTCAAACGCAAACCTGCTCACTACAAGTTGAAGTGACTTTAGCTAATAGTCTTAACACTTATTCGCTAGGAATTTTGGCACGTTAAGTTACAGGATGCGTAAAGTTTTTCTCATAAAACAGTTGAAGACTTTGCAAATTGGAAGTCGAAAAGAAAAAGAAACATCTTTTAGCATGTGATTCTACTTTGATAGTCAACAAGCATCCGGCAATATTTTAAGTTGATTTTAAGGAATAACGTCTTTTAATTACTGTACAGTTGTTATAAACTATATTTGATATCTTTCGAGTTTATGAAATTTTCTGAAGTAGAAAAGAAAATTTACTGTTGAATTGAACCCATTGTATAGACATGAAATGCTTTCAAATTATATATATATAACAACTTGTCACATACAATGATGAAGACGTGTACCGTTTTCATGAAGATTTGCTATTCAAATGTTGAAACAGAGTGCTATATCATCTACAAAATCCAATCTCACTTAATAACATCTAATTTAACGTCAATATTTCGCTCCACTTTCTATTTTCACTGATACAATAAATAAACTCCTTTGTTCATAATGACTTTTGAACTAAATTTGTGAAAAATTACAATCTACTTGATATTTTTCTTGAGCCATAAAATAAGTGTGACGAATCACTCTCTGGTATAATGAGATGGTTGAAATTTTTCGTTCATTCATTAGTGATGCAAGATTTAAGCTTTTGTGAACGAAGAATTTTTCGAAGATCATGTTCTGAATATGAACTTATATAAACCGAGAGTCTAAAAAAATGTAACAATATATTTTGATCAACTTTATCAAATAACTTGCCTTACTTTACACATTACTTATCTCTCTCCTTTTTTTTGTATGTGTGGAATGTTACTTGTTATAGTCTTTTACACTACAATGTGTCAAAACTCAAAAAGTAAATTGTATCCCATTAATAGAAGAGAAATCAAGGTTAGCTAAACAGATGAGTTCTTTAATTTCTTATAGTGGAGAACATCCCGAATTTATATGCTTTTTTATTCGTCCTAATATTCATTTTATTCTTCTCTTTGATTCTTCCGCGAACAACTGTGATTTTGTTGTAGTAAACTGTTAAATGAATGAAAATGTGTTTTTTTTAACTGTAGATGAAAAGAGAAGATTCTAATATATGTAAGAATATGGAATTTCACCTTTTTCTTTTCGAAGGTACGTGAATATTGTTGTAGCTGGGATTTGAACTTAGCTATCCCTTTTGGGGACCAGACAAAGAGAAAATCTTATATAAAATAAATAAGAGACTGGAAATGTAAAATTTGCCTTGCTCGGACTTAAACAAGTTAATGGTGTAGTGTCAAATAAGAGTAGTAGATTATATACTCTTATTTCTGAACAAAGAGATAGTGAAAGGTTATTTACAGAAATAGGATATTTGGGTGCCGCTATTTAAAGTTTGACCCCGGTAAGAAAAGTCTTGGATAAAGACCTCGCGTCAGATTTTGAAAGTATGCTCATGTCAATTGCCAGCTTCTTAAGGTGATCAAAATCCTGGCTATCGCCATAAATATGCTTATGGTGATTGCAAGGATTTCTGGCCAAAATTCTAGTAATTATCAACATTTGCCACAAATTCTAGTAATCATCAGAATTCCTGGTGTTCCAAAATTTCGATGAACGTGCTTTAAATTCTGGCATGAGGCTATATTCCCTTTAACTTTTTTTAACATGGTCAAAATATAAATAGTAATTTTAAAATGGTCCATCCAGTGTAATTTGCACCACCGAAAGTAAAGGAACTAAAAATTATTCATATGGGCCTCAAAATCAATCCATCTAGCACCTTTCATTTTTGGGCCTCCAATTTCACTACACACGGCCCAAGAGTTTTCTAGACATCTTCGAATTTCTTCCACGAATGTCTTACAGTTTTCTTGCCCGCCAAGACATAATCCTATGTAAAACACTTTAACTCCACCCCCTCCCCAAACTCCCGCAGTTTTCCAACATCAGCAGAAGATCTTAGCAGAAAACAAAGTTAAAACAAATATGGAGTTGTTCGAATCCATGCCATCTTCTAAAGCAATTTTGACGGCGGCAACTTCTCTTACAGCTTCTGTAATTCTCTTCAGATCAATAGCTAGCGATCTTGTACCTGAAACACTTCAGCACTTCTTCTCTTCACGCTTTCAAAAAATATCAAACCGCCTTTCCTCACAGCTGATAGTTGTCATAGAAGAATCTGAAGGTCTCACTTCGAACCAGATGTTCGACGCCGCCAACGTTTATTTGGGTACAAAGGTTTCTCCTTGGACACAGAGGATCAAAGTCAATAAGCCCGACAAAGATGAAGAGCTCGCCGTCACTGTCGACAGGTTAACCTCGACTTGAACTATATGTAGTTTAACAAATAACAATTGAACAAGCATTATAGATTTGTGCTAAGTTCGTACAACTGAAAAAAGATGATAGTGAGTGCAGTAAATTTTAAAATTTAACTTATATACACCAATGATATAATCGTGCTTACATATATGCTTTAATTATTGTTAGTTGGTGGGATATATATTCTCTTTAGCTGAATTATACTCATTATTTTGATTGATGAGCAATTGATGGAATGACTAACGGAGTTATCTGTATATATTAATCTCTTACAACAGATTATTTACTTTATTTTTCCTGCTATCATACTAAATTTGTTACGTAGAAATCAGTGGCACAGCTGAGTGGAGGTAATCTTTGAAAAATTATACTGTGCATATAGGGTAAAAGATATTTTTTTGATTATACATAGACGGTTGAATCTCCTGATATAAGGAAAAAGTCTTGTGAAGCGGCAAAAGGGGATAAAAAATGCCTTAGCTCACTGGTTTAAATCCCTGATGTGACATTCTGTATGTTTCTGAATCTCTTTTTGTATAAATTCTTGGCACCACAAATACTAAGAAAGGTTACTCTTTATTGTAGGTAACTTAACCTGACAAAGGTACTTAAATTTTAAACGTACTGATTTAAAATCTTGGATCCGCAGGTACCAAGAAGTAACAGATTGTTATGAAAATGTGAATTTCACCTGGATTTTGAAGTCCAGGGGAATTAAACAGAGTGACAAGAGCTCCAATCCCAAGACAGAGCTTCGATATTTTGAGTTGAGTTTTCACAAGAAGAAAAAAGAGATGGTTTTAAAATCTTATTTACCATATATATTATTAAGTAGGGCCAAAGAGATTAAGGAAGAGAAAAAAGCAGTGCGGTTACATACGGTGGATTATAATGGGACTGATTATTGGAGTTCCGTGGTATTAAATCATCCTGCGACTTTTGATACAATGGCAATGGAACCAGAAATGAAGAAGGAGCTGATTGAGGATCTTGACATGTTTGTGAGTAGAAAAGATTACTATAGGAGAGTTGGCAAAGCTTGGAAACGCGGCTACTTGCTATATGGACCACCTGGTACAGGGAAATCGAGCTTAGTTGCAGCGATGGCTAATTACCTTAAGTTTGACGTTTATGACTTGGACTTGAGAGAGGTGCAGTGCAATTCGGATTTGAGAAGGTTGTTGATTGGTTCAGCAAATCGATCCATACTTGTGATAGAAGACATTGATTGCAATGTGGGGTTGCAGAATAGAGAAAATGAGAATGACACAAGTGAAGATGACAAGGTATTGTAATGCATTTATTTGACACAGTTTCAGTTTACAATGAACTATTCAATTCCTCTTAACCACACTGCATATAACTATAAGAATAGAGAAAATGGTCGGAGCACTCCTCCACGGCTATGTTGCTCGGACTCTTCAAAATTTCTCCAGATGTGTATCGGATCCTCCAAAAGTAGTGCATTTTTGGAGGATCCGACACGAATTTTAGAGAGTCCGCGCAACGTAGCTCCACGGTACGAGGTATCTTAAGTCTTCCATCTGTTATACTATGGGGCCATTCATTACTTGATGTTAGCAAATCGTCTAGTAATTTCTCTTGACTCTGATAAAACTCGATTCTGGACCCTAACTGAAGTTTGACGGAGGATAATTCTAAACCGTAATCAGAAGTAGAGGGGGTATATTTAGACCTTTTTTATGATGTATTTTGACACGAGAAATCCACTCATTTCATGCTATAACTCTGTTAAAGTTAAGGACAAATACGAGATGATTTGCTAACGATAAGGGTGTGAATGACCCCAAAGTATAATATAGGGTAAAATTAAAATATTGCATATAGTAAAGGAGTAAGCTTGATCCTTTTCCTTAAGAAATATCATTTGGTATCACTAGATATTGTGATAGTGTTATACTTTGACCATTGTTTTGCTAAAATTTCTACGAATGCAGATCACATTGTCTGGGCTGCTGAACTTTATTGATGGGTTGTGGTCGAGTTGTGGAGATGAGCGAATCATAGTGTTTACAACAAACCACAAGGACCGACTTGATCCAGCATTGTTGAGACCTGGCCGTATGGATGTGGACATTGAAATGTCCTACTGCACTTTCAGTGGTTTCAGGATACTGGCAGCTAATTACCTAAAGATTGAGGAGCACAGCAAGTTTAGGGTAATTGAGTTTCTGCTCCTGAAAGTTAAAGCAACTCCAGCTGAAGTTGCAGGAGAGCTGATGAAGAGCAACAACAGTGAAATTGCACTAGAAAACCTCATCAAATACCTTTCAAAACAAAATGCATTGCTGACTGAAACAGATGGACATTAGGGACTACGGCGGAGGACAAATAAATTCGGCATAGGGTGAGATATTCTTTGATCTTTTAAAGAGCAAGATTTTTATAGTTCATTAGCTTTTGTTAAACCTGGTAACATATTACGCTGATTCTTTGATTCTATTCATCATTGGACCTCCATCTATTTATAAGTTTGGCGTGTTGCTTTACAAAATCTACTTCAGTTAGTTGTGTCATTACATGGTTAGAAATATTTCTTTTCTGCCTTTCCTAGAATATTTTGCAGATGCAGAACTGAAGTACAGTCCATCAAATTACTTAACGCAACATACTAACAGGTATTTGCATGAATATAATTGTATTTAGTTATGTGGTGAGGTGGTTCCATTACGCCGCAAGTTCCGGTTTCTAACGTTGCAACATGACTCAGTTCTGATAATTCTATTTGGATACTTGTAAGTATATCTCTAGATCAATTCAAAATTTTGGCATATCTTAGCAAGGGATGTACTACTGAGAATGAAAAAATAACCACAACAACCACCAAAATGACAATAATTTATCAGCTTTCATTTTCTATACAAAGAGTAATATCCTTGAAGAAAAAGATATAATGAGAGACTTCATTTCCGATAATGTCATAATTTCAATAGAAATTCTAAGATGAAAGATGATTTATAGTGATTGTTACAAATGATAATGGTTAATCAGAGTCAGCTCTACCATTCCCAAATTTCATAAACTTGTGCAGTAAGTATCCTTGGACTCGTGAATTTGGGAATGCTTACTGCACAGTGAAACTGGACAGTGACATAAATATGAAGAAACATTGCTAGACGTACCTTCTTCACATTCAAATCCTGTTTCAGCAGTAAATGTCTCACAGCAACTTACCTGTCTTAGGGAACAAGCACTTGAGAAGCTAATTTTTAATAATTTAAACAAAGAAAAACATTCTACCATAGGAAAAGAAACAATCAAATGGAACATACCATCTGTGGCTGGTTTTCTCCTATTGGTCGGCGTTGCCTCTATGTTCTCTAAACACTCTGCTTCCTCTCCAAAACTCATCTTCATGTAGAAAGAATAAGTTGACATACAGTAACATAGCGATTTATGCAAAGAAAAGCTACTAATAATCCACATTCACCATTGATGTCTTGAGTCTTCTCCACGGCCCTTTATCTGACTTTAAACAACCACCATCATTCTCACACGTGCAGCTTCCACCTAGAAAATCTGGCAACTCACTGCGAATCACACAGTTTTTGACAAGATGGGTAATCGTCTAAGGAACACTATAACAGCTAGGATAGAGAAAAAAAGAATTTGAGATAATTACCATTCATCGATGATTTCGAGCAGTTTACCTTTATAATTGTTGCCAAGAACCTACAAATTTGAAAAGTTATAATTCTTGATATGTCCAATTGACTCATATATATCCCTCCATCTCAATCTAAGACCAATTCTGAAGTAGATTACAGGCATCGATAAATCTCTTTCTTCATTATAAGACTTAAAGATTCAGAAGCTTCTTAAACTAATGATTACCAACAGATGATAGAACTTAATAATATAAGCCTGGTCAAAGGGAAGAAAGCATGCCATACATGAATCTTGGAAGTGGTCTCAGGGTCAAGAAAAGGCTTGAGTATATTCCAGATAAGCCTAAATCCAGGTCCAGCATTTATGACAAACATTTCGCCAAGTGTCTGCAAAATTATTTTGTCAAGGTTAGATATTAGTTAGTAGTTTACATGACAGTAAAAGTCATTGATTGATAATGACTTAGATATTAGTTCGCGAATTACTTCAGGGTAAAAGTCATTATCAATCTTCTGCAGCTGCATAATGACTTCTCGTACAGGTTTTGAGAAATTCCTCAAACGCTACAATATAGAAAACAAATTATGAAACTGAACTATAAGAAGCACATTGTTGAAAATCCACCAGAAAAGACTAATAAATTAATGAATAGGAATATACCACTCCTTCAACATCCAAAATGGTAACACTTGTGTCTATATGTCTTTCTGCAGCTACAGTGCATGCAGGAAACCTGCAGGCAATAGACTTCTCGAACTCTTGAACATGGTATTTAACATATCGATCCAATGTAGTCACTTCCAATAGCTTTTCCACATTCATTAGCCCCAATCTTTCAATATAAACTGGTCTTCCTTCCTTATCCGTGCCATGATAACCCTGAGGGTAGTTTTGCAGGACTTCATCCCTTTCATGGAAGTCAAAATCCTGAGGAAAATATTGTATACGATCAAGCAACTAGAAATAGTGACTAGCATCGATGTTTTAGCATTAACAAGTGCAGACAGCAAGTTCAAACCATTCTAACTTCACGAATGTTGTTTCTTAGTGTTGCCAGAGCTAAAACAATAACAGATTTCTCGATAATTGTAGCTCAAGCCATGAGATTGTCTCTTTTCTTATGTCTTTTCATTAGTATTCAAGTTATTCATCCTCCTTTTTCTGTCCTGTTTAAACAATATCATTTTTTGAACATATAAAAAATATGAACTACTATGTTAATTAAAGATTTTAAACCATAATGTGGGCCGGATTATTCAGAAAAACACTTTCAAATGCATAAGAAGACTAGACATGTTGTCAACCTCGAGAAAATCCAGTATAGAACAAGCTAATAAGAAAATTCGAGAAAAAACTTATGGCATTTTAAAAGTAACATAGGCATAAAAAAGAAGGAAGTGGGAATATATAATCGATATGATTGTACTGATAAGATAAAAATATGATTGTATTGATAAAGGAAAAACATGTTTGTGCAAGGTTAAGAGAGAATTTCTGTATCTTGAAACCTCAAATTGGTGAATGACTTGTAATACCATAGTTACAACCTCAAAGAGTTGCTATCCCAAAACTCACATGACATTCTCAAGAAATATGGGCATTACGGGGGAAAAAGATAGAGCAGTAGCAGCTGAAAAAAGTATATCTACTTTGATAATAGTGTCAGTTCCAAAATCTCTCCTCCATTGAAGCATATCTGTCCACATGCGCTTAGCCTTCTCCATGTCAAACTTTCTAGCTTTTAGAAATCTGATCAAATATTGAACAGCTGAAAGTTAAGTTCATTTGTCTTCTATCTTTACATGAAATTTATGAACTCGTGCATAATACAGGTTACACTAGGTGATTTCTTCCCATCTATCCAAGCCTTGGTGGATAGAGTTACCTGTTGCTGGTGGGAGGTGTCAGGAAATAATCGAGGTGCGCGCAAGCTGACCTGAACACCACGATTATCAAAAAAAGAAATACAGGTTACAACACTTTGATCGCATGTGGTTAACAATTGGCAAGTGCACCTTAACAATTTGAGATTATCATCATGCATAGCAGGAATCAGGTTCTCCATGATCAGCACTTGTCGAAAAGCATTTACAAACTTCAACTCCTCACTGCCCAGAAATTTCTCTGTGGTAGAAGTAATTCCAATATCATTTCGTATCCTGATTATCTTCTCACGGGACAGCTTTCTCTCTTGTGTCTTAGATATACCAAGTTCATTCTTCGTTCCCTCGACGACTTCAGAATGTAATCGATCTTCACCACCTGTGCAAGTGCAAATATACAGGGTTAACCATATGAGTACTAAATCTTCAAGTAACAATGCTTCTTGATCGTATCAAAGTAAGTATAATACAGTGGAGTGAATAAAATATATAAAAGTTAAACATAACTCAATGACCAAAAAGGCAAAATCTGAGTATGATACAGGCAAAAAAACGACGAACTTACAAGCATCTTGTACACAACAAATAGCTAAAACACCAAAAGTTCAATCTTTCAATAGTCAAAGCCTGGGAGGAATTTTTCAAACGAATGCCTGATATTCTATCAAACGTCAATCAATCAACTAAGCCTCAATCCTAAATTAGTTGGTGTAGGCAATATCCATCCTACAAATCATAGTCTGACTAATTAACCTGGTATCAACCTACCAAAATCATGTTTTTCATCGGCTATATGGATCCTCCTTCCCAGTATTAGAATAGACTATATGTTTTGCAAACTCAACCAAATGACGAGCATAGAAACTTTGATCACATAAGATTGCGAATATATCGTGTTAACCAAAGAAATAAAGAGAAATTTTCAAACTCATAATAGAAAAATAAAAAAGAAAAAAAAGAGACACTTCCTACATCATTGATCAACCGCAGGTACCTGACATTTCCGAGGACTAAAAAACCTTGAAGTTAATCTAAACAGACTAAACTTATCGAAACCTTGTAAAAGTCAATCTCTTTACCCTGCAATAAAGGTTAAACATTAATTAAGCAATCGGAAATGTCGAAATGGGATTAACTAGTTTAACTTCATTCAAACTCACATGGAAACATATTTGGACTTTGGCTATGTCAAAGTCGAAGTGAAGAGAATAGGGGAGTTTCGTGAAGCAGTTAAGCGTTCCGTCTACTTTTTGATAGCGGTTGGTTTTGTGGGACCCCTACTTGCTATATGGGACCCTTTCTCTTAGTGGCGGGAATATGCCATTTATCGCTTTTGTATCTATATTTTATGCTCCGATCTTCTCCTTCATACAAAAAAAAAAAGATAAAAATTTAACAGCAGCTTTGCTCAATAGTCTTGTTTGAGGTGGTGTAAAAAACATTTACAAAATTAATTATTAGAAGTTTTTTTGACACATAATAATCACTAATCTGATAAAGATTTAGTTTAAGAAAAGTTTTACATAAAGTTTATATAATTTAAATCCTCATTTTAATATCTTATTACCAAATTAAGTTTATAATTTAATACTAAAGTTAAGAAAACTCACATATTTCTTTTTTCCTTCTCTACTTCAAAAACAGTTCCAGTAGATAATTATATGGTGGGCATTCAAGTTCTTTTATGGTATTTCATTTTTTTCCTCAGTTCCCGATTGTGTGAATTTACAGACCAAATGAGATTAGATTACATTCGTGGAGTCTTTCCTTATTTAGATTTCGTTTTTGGATTTGTTTTGCCGTTGTCCTTAATTGGTTAATCGTTTTCAAATACAAAACTGTGTTCTGGATTGTGATTTTCTGATCAGTTACTGTCCCGCGGGACAAACTCTTTCTAGTCCTGATGAGACCGAAAACGACGCCAAGAAATTACGTATGAATAAAACTAAAGGCAAAGAACTATACTTTTCAGTAAATTTTATTACTACAATTACGTGCAAATTTTCCGATTAACTTGGTGAGAAATGCAGATACCAGTTGAAATGGGAATATACATATACCCACTAAGTGGCATCAACTGAACTTGTATTTTATTTCGTTGCTACGATTCCTGGTATATTTAGCATCTTCTCTCTTCTGTATTAGAATTTAGAAACCGTCGCTGTCAATACAACAGTGTACCTAACGTTTTTCTTTTTAATATCTCGAGCGATGTTTGATACTCGCTTTAAGTTATTTAAACTTAATAAATTCGACTAAACTCATAATTTTCTAAATATTTTTAATTTCTACACGGAGTACAGATATTGCATCTGCCTATTATACAGTACATCATATGTCGCTTTACTTGTTAAAAAGAGTACACTAAGCTGATTTCTCATAAGAGATCAATTAATTAAAACTTGATCGATTGAAGAGCTTAAATTTGAGCACCCCAGATGCCAGATGTCTACATACTTCTTCACATAGTTAAGAGCAAAATTCAACTAGACAACATTAACGGTCACATATTACAAGTTAAATTATACTAATAATATGCCTATTGAGCTGCCATTTTGTAACTACAAGGCCACACACGATGATATGCCATTTCTATAGACCTTAACAATTTGTAGGCGATGAAAGGCATGCAAGATAAACATGAAACTGAATGAAGTTCATGTCCAAGCACCAAAGTTTACCGGTCTGTTTTACATTAACATTATTACAGTCTATACAGATATTCACAAGTTTTTTTACATATTAACGGAGAGCTACAATTGATCTTTGAAGATGCTGACCACATTGGCTCTGATGAATGGCTCCTATATACACAGTAGTCCTTTGCTCAGACAACTTTAAAGCACATCTATGAAACAAACTTCTAATCAAAATCAACCGTCGTGCTCCTCCAGTTGTTTAAATTCAAATACATGTCAAAGGAAAGCAATGCAAAAAGCTTCGCAGATATTTGTAGGACTGAGGAAAATGATTGGACAATGTACCTGTTATATCCAGTTTCGCTTGGACCGCAGTTGAGTAAGCTTGTCCCTCCAGAGAGCTGTAGTTACCAATATACAAGTGAGAATAAAACATATGACCAGGGATATAAACTGGCAAAACAACAAAGAAAGGACAACACGGATTAGGAAAAAAAAAACGGAAAAAAAAGGCTAGCTAGGGAAGGGCCTGTCAGGAAAACCCAGTGTAGAAAGAAGGCTTGTCAATTCTAGCTGATAAGGTTACACTTCCAGAAAAAAAAAAAAAAAAAAAAAGGAACTCAAGTAAAATTAAAAGTTGATGCTTCAGCTTAGAAGAAAACGACCCTTCTTCTGCAGGTTCTCATTGATGCAATTTTCTGGACCCATATAGCAATAAATGACAGACAAAAGGATTTTCCACAGCATGGAAAGGAAGAGGTTCACAAAGCACACATAGTAGCAGAAAAACCATTCCGCGCAAAATCTGAACATGTTAACAAAGAGTACCTGCATCTCTATATCGTTCTTCAACTGCTGCAATCAGCATGTTCCGCACAAGAATAAACTCCTTTGTTTCAATGCATGGCCGGCCAGAAGGTCTGACCCACAAAACAAGTTGATTATGTATTTGATTGTTAAAACAAGTTAAGATTATATTTGTCACAACAGAATAAGTGGGTAACATGGTCAATGAGGATACATATAGCCGGCTACAACTTGTCTGGGAATGACGTTTAGTTGTTATAGAATAAGGTATTGTTAAGAATTTCAGCTAGTTTCAAATTTCGAACTACTACAATTTTCTCTCTCAAACAGGAAATAATGCTGTGTGTCATTTTTCATTAAAATATATACCATGTAAGAAAATTGGGCAATTTATTGAACTGCTTTTTCTGACAAAAACAAGATGTGGACAAAGTTTCACAAGGATTTTCTAAAAGAGCTTTACCTGTCAAGCTCAGTGAACAATAAACCATCCGAACCAGTAGTGTGCACTGCTGACTTCGGAGTTTCAACTATTCTCATACCATCACTGTAAGCCAAGTACTTGTTGACTTGTATTGGCACCTAGAACAATTAGAGAACAGAAGCTTTATTATGTTAGCATTCACTTGGCACAAGGGTAAGATAAAGTTGGATTACAATACCATCAGATTACAAGCGAGCAAATAGGACTATAGTGATGGGGACTAGACGAAAATGTGGATGGCCTCAGACACAGTTTCTACACTGTGCTCGATCCATTGATAGGTTTGGGATTAAATTTGGGATTGACTATAGTTGCATCCTTCAATTTGTCGTACTTGGTATGTAGGATGAAAGTGAGTGGGAATGAGTAGTGCTGGGAGGTATATGCCCAGATACGAAAAATGGTGGTTACAGTCAATTGAAAATTGGTTTATAATCCCTATAAGGGAGGAGCAATTGTAATCCTCTCTTCTCCATCATATATCGGGCACAATACAAACCCTTAGAAGTCATTTGGTTTACAGAGAGAGTATTGTGCAGTTGTAATCTCAAGATATTATAGTGACCAGATTATTAGTGGAGGGATCATGGACTAGATTGTACTTGTATCACTCGGTAGTGGGTGAATATAAGGTAAGACATATCATTGAATATGTTGGCAACAGGCTAATATTCTGAACATCATATCTAATCAGGTTATTATACAAAAGAATTCATCAATTTTTGTTTAGAAGTTAATTAAGCATTACAGAGCACTTAAAAAAAAGAAAAATAGAGAAAGGTTGCATAAACGGAAACGGAGGGTGGGAGGAAGTAATCAGCAAATTGAATCCAAGTTCAGTTGATGGATAATAATTGTATACCTTGACTACACAAAAAATGCCACTTAAAATTGAACGTTACTAATTTGAGCTTGGTTAATATGCAAAAGCTAAAGATGCGAGCAACACTGCCACCACGTTTCATGTTATAAAAAAAATGGAGCTTGTCGGAGATCAAGAAACATAGAGAATAAAGTTATTCTCCCAAATTTTATTTGTAATTCTTGGATAAAATAGCAGGAATTAAAGCATCAGATTCACATTACGTTTTGCTTTTCTATCAAACACCATAATCCACACCCCAAAAGGAGGACTAATAAAGAAAGCAGAGGATAAATCTTGAAATGGATGAACTGAGAATGAGCAGAAAACACAGGAGGAAGAGGAAAACTATCTAATGATTACAAAATTCTCTCTCAAGAGATTGTTTCAACATGTGGGTAAAATTCAAAATAATAAGGTACTATCATTAGCTCATGTATAAAACAGAAGTTGGAGACTAGTTATTCACCTTGCTTCTCACAGCAATGTTGATTGCATCAGAAGGACGAAGATCAAAGCTAATACACTCAGCATCATTATCTGACTGTAATGACAACCACACCAAAGGTGGTTAAGTTGTATCACCACATAAAGTGTACTGAAACTTGCGAATGTGATCAGTCAGAGCATAGTAACAGCATTTTACACACCTTTGTCAGGTATAACTGAGCATAATATGCCTCATGCACTCTCTTGGTAACTCGAACAAGTTTAACCTTCCAACAGGAAAACTGTCAGATTAAGCCTAAAAGCTAACGCAATTACTGGTAAAGCACAAATAACAAGCTTACTATGTAACCCATCTTCTCAACCATTTCCTTCACAACTTGATACATTGTTGGTCTGGCCTGAAACAGAGGCAATGTTTTTCTTCTTCAGTAACGGGAATAGAACAATGCTGCTAATTTTGGCAGGATGGATTTACCAGAACCTATATAAGGAAACTTACAATTTGGACATTGCGCACAGCTGCCATGAGCAGCGCACTTGGCATCTCCACTGTCATATAAACAGACACAGAAAAGATACAGCCTTATATTTTAATTATGCGTCTAAGAAACAATCTAGTCATTTAAACAAATGAACGAAATATCTACGTACAAACAATAATAGGGAGAAGAAGTCCTGTCCCATCTTCCATTCTTAAAACAATCGCTGGATGTGGAGCATAATCAGGTAGATGACCTCCTTGTGGATTATTATGGACACATTTCAAATGCCTGCCATCTCTCATCTTGATCATGAAACCATCCGGTCCACTTCGCACTTCAACTACACAGAAGAATAGGAAAGTTACATCACCCAAACAAAGGTTGCTACACTTTTATTTCTTTTTGTTTGGGCAAGTAGCATATCCACTTATTTTTTTTATTTTTTTTTTGACATATGAACTTAAAGAGGTTCTCATCCCTCAGTTTTTGAGGGATAAGATTGCCTTCAACTAAGGCGAAACAACAGATACCAAGGAGTAAGGTCTGCAACCAGACTCCAAAATTTGACACGTGAAGAGATGCAGAAAAAAAGATAGGAAAAATAA